ACAGGCTGGAGGTGCAGGGGCAGTGAGAGGATTCACCAGAGACAGAGTGGGGAGCAGAACAGGCAGATCCATGAAGTACACTGCTGAGGGGAGCAACAGACAGGTCAGGAGTGGTCTGCTGAGCCATGTGGGTCACCTCTGGGGTGGGGATTGAACTTGTACGGAAGCAACCGTGGCTAGCTTGCAGTGCTGTGCTTTAACCCACTGTGCCACCAGGGAGAGCCACATCATATTGATTTTAATTATAGGTTATCCATTTCCTACTTGCATTAATCAAAAACATACTTAACTATTAGCACTTTCTGACAAGCAAAGGAAAACCAGTGTTTTTGTTATAATTCAAAGACTAGATGTTTAATGTAATAAGAGATACTTGATATAATAAGAATAAATGATACTGCTATAAGAAGAACAGTAAATGAAGAAGCTCTACTATAGGTAAATGTAAATTTGTTGGTTTGCCTTTATAAATATTAAAAGGAAGGTTCAAAGCATTATTCATTCATAAAACTGCAACTACACACTGTCCATTTCTTCTAGTGTGATATGTAATTTTTAACAGTTTACTTTCTAATTTTCTTTTTCCTTTTTGGTGAGGGCTGTTTGGAAAATAGGAAAAGTGTGATATTTATAATCCGTGTATTTCTCTCTGTTTCACATTTCCACTCATAGCTTTCATTATTAACCTTTTTAACTTATGTTATGAAAAAATTTAAATATAAAAGGAAAACGAATATTACAATGATTATTCACATATCCCTCAATGAACTACAGCAGATTCAGTTTTTTTTCATGTATCTCCCATCCCACCAACAGTCCTGAGTATAATATTCTGTGAAAATCCTAGATATATTGTTTCTGAACTGCTAGTTATGAATTGAAGGTCTACAAAGAGCCCCATCCCAGCTGTCAGTATGCCACAGATTATGATTTGCCACTGTGTGTGTGGTTGATCCATGGCTCAGTCATTAATATAGCATGGTTTCCTTTTGTAAGCAGAGGTCACCTGCAGCTGTAATTCAAACAATAGAATGGGCAGCTTATTAGCCTATTAGCCTAACTTGATTGTATTGGCAGTGTAATGATGGCAATGTATTGGCCAATGTAATGATGTATTGGCCAATGTAATGATGGCTGAGACCTGAAGCAAAGAAATGCAGAGAAAAGTTGCCATGTGCTGGCTGGCTTTGAAGAGTCCATGTGGAGAATTGGTGTTGCTTTGAAGGCAAGCCGTCTGGAGTTAACTGTGGCCAGAGAGGGTCAGACTCCACCTTGGCTGTTTGCAGGGTTGGATGTGGTTATAGGAGACATCCTCCATTTAGTAAGATGTTGGGAAAACTACGTATTTAAAGCTTCAAAAGGGCTTTCTTTGTCTGTAAAGGTGGGCACCAAAACAAGACTGTCTAGTCCCATAATCCCATCTGATGTGCACTGTGTGATGTGTGCATGTGCATGAGAGAGAGAGAGAGAAAGAGAGAGATAGAAATAAAGAGAGAGAGAGAGAGAAATTCATCAGGATCTTGAATTTATGCATTGTCAGTCATTTCAAACCATTCAAGCTCTGAGTCAGAAATAGTGGTGATTCAATGGAATATTACTCAGTGATCAAAAAGGTTATACCCATGCCCTTTGCAGCAACATGGATGGAGCTGGAAGGGATTATGCCAGAAAGAAAAAGTAAAATATTGAATGGTCTCACTTATAGGAGGAATGTAGAGGAGCCAAATAAGGAATCAGAAAAAAAAAATAACTATAATAAACTAAAAATCAAAATCATCAGGCAACTATAGACCAGAGGCATTCTGCAGGGGGGAAGGATGAAGGACCAGGACAGGGGTGGGAAGAGCATGGTTCACTATGGTAATGGTGAACAGGTGAATTGGTGGTGAGAATTTCATGGGGAAATCATACATTGTACAAGAGTGAAGGATGATGTAATAAATATATTAAAAAATAATGGTGACTTTCTGAATCTACACATTATAATCCTTCTGAAAGTTAAATTACCTTATGCATAAAACCTGGTATACCAAGATCAGTCAGAATTATGGACATTTTCCTATTGGCTTTTTAAATTAGACTTCACAGAGTAAGTTAATAATAGTAATGATTAACTAAGTACCATTTACTTCTTACTTGGATTTGAGAATATATGTTAAAATAGAATAGTTTCACTTACATGAAGTAATTTTGAACAGAAATTCATATTTAGTATTTTTTGACTAGGTTTTTTCATTAATTATTTATTGGAAGTAATTAATCAGAGACATCCTATTTTGATTTGCTTTCTTTTAGATATATATTTCTTGATCCAAAAGTTGTAGCTAAGAAAAATGGAGCCTAAACAATGAGGTGCATTCAACAGGAAACCACAAATTATAGTTTGTTATGTTCATTACCTAGTATCATCTCGTTTTCCTACTAGAAAAAATGTGAACAGAGTTTTCTCTCATATATACATTTATTCATGAAACTGAACAAAAAGTTTAAGTATATGTCATTGGTACAGCTGTGAAGTCAATGTTTTAATTCTACTTGTTACAACTTCCCATTTATTTTTATGTACTTGCATTTGATTTCATCTACTTGCTCCTTAGAAGTCAAATAAATAGACTCAAAATATTGAACACGTTTCATTTAGATATAAGTGAAGAAATATTCCAATGCTTTCCATCTGTTTATCGTAGTAAGTAAAGCCAGAGTATTAAATTATAGCAGGTTTAAAAAAATTCACCTTCATCACTTTCTGTTATCAGTGGATAGAATTTCTTCTTTTTTTTCTCCACAGGCAAAAGACAGTTCTCTATGATACAGAATCCTGAAATGTGATCTTCCTTAAAAGGTAAGTGTATGTACTTTAAAAACTAATTTATGACATTAAATTTTTTTGTTATCTTGAATAAATTACAACTCAGGCTATTTAACCAAGAAGCAATTTTTATGCTGCTGATGCTTGCCATTTTGAATTGAATTAAAACCTCAGATTCAGCTTTCTGAATTCAATATTGAGTTTGCCAGACATTTTAAAGGATGACTCTTCTGAGCGAATAGTTGGTCTATAGCAGTAAATGCAGGTGATGTGTAATAAGCTAGTGTGTCTCAGTAAGTATATACATATTGTTTTAATTGAAAGATTCATTTGAGTTTATCTTGATAAATTATGTTCTTCTTTTCTCAGTGGGTGATACCATTCTAGGAAGTCCAGAGAAATTGAAAGTATAAACTGGTCTGTGGCTAAAGTTGTTATATCATGGGGTTTTTCTATGAGGTTTCCTTTTCAGGGAGGGAATTATGAGTTATTTAGTAACTATCAACTATAATGCAGTTTTGGAGATTCTTAAACTTATGGATCCTTTTTGTAAGCTAGCTGAAAGCATCAAGCTTTAGTTTTTACCTGATAGTTTTTTCTCTGTAATATGGACCAACATCTGCCAGTTCTCCTGTTTTTAAAGGTGTCCTGGGAATTTGATTGCGATGAGAGGGGCGTGTCCAGAGAGGGCCCGGCAGAGCCAGAAAGTGCCAGACACTAGTGTGCTGAACCTGACAGGGTATCACCTCAGACACAGCATCTCTTTAGAGGTTTTAGTATCCTTATACAGAGATCACAGTGGTCAAAACAGAGTTGTACCATTATCCAGTAATACTGCCATCTGGTCTCCGCTCGGATTGCAACATTTTAGTTCTTTGAACATTTCCTGAGAAATTGTGGAATGAAAATAATCCTCCCCAAATTTACAATAGTAGATCTGTGATGCTTATGGGGTCTTTCTTTCTGTTAGTTTTACAAAAGTGACTTCTCACTTCCAGCTTGATATGGTTTGTCAAATCATGGTCAACTCCAGCCCGGAAATGACTCAGTTCTCTAACAGAGGTCCCCAAGTTACCCAATATGTTACTCATAAAACATCACCTGCCTCCACATAATAAATCCCCTCTCTGGATATGCTCGTGGTCAACTCTAGACAGGGAATGAATTAGTTCTCTTCTAACACAGTTCCCAAATTCAGTGAGCAATAATTTAGAAAATATCCCTTACCTCTAAATAGTAAAAATAGACTTGTGACATGTTTTTTTTGTCATTGGGACTTTAGAGTGGAGAAGAATACTGCTTTTAATCTCTGAATTGAAAATGGTAGAATTGAAGTTGAGATGAAATAGTTAAGACAAATTGAAACACCAAGATAACTCAGTAGCATTTGGACATAAATGTAACATTAGAGACAACAAACGGAGAGATTGTGGCTAATTTGCTGGAAAAGGACTTCAAAAGTCTGTGCAGATTACTTAGTGTGAAATGGCAGCAAAAAAAATTAATGTTAGCCATATTTTTTCCCTCACATAATTGATTTCAAAAATGACACAGACAAACATGACTTAATCACATACAGAGAGCAAAAAATACATTTTGATGAAATGATGTCAGGAAGAGAGCTGAGGAACATCATATAAAGGTTGAGTTAGAAAAAATAAACTTTTAGGCAATCTAAATCATTAGACCTTGATCTTCTTTGAAGCTAGAATGATAATTGTTCTTAACTGTAGTAATCAAACCTACTATAAGATCGTACTGAAAAAATTTGACTTCCAATCATTAGGGAAATTGCTTTTTTATCTTTTCTCTAGCTTCAGTCCAAAACCTTTTATCACTTATTTGCTGGGCACTTAGGGACAGGGTCTTTGGAGGTCGGCTTCAAACCTGTGTGTTGCCCAGGCCCAGGATCTGTGGGATGTTGTAGGGAGCCCTGAAATCCGCAGGGATACCAAGGATTGCTCACACATTAAATAAATATTGTCTCCAAGTGTATGTTTTTGACAATTCCATGAGGAAATGTAGATGAAATAAAGAGTTACTTAATTAGCAGTAGGTGTTTTTGGTTATAATATGGTATCTTAACAGTAATTAAAGCATAGCATTGTAAATAGTGAATAATGCAATTTTCATTTTAAAATGGAGCTGTATAACTAGAGAGCTGGAGAACTGTTGCTGTAGAACGAATTGAAGGCATCTAAATTTGGTTGAACCCATGACTCAACCAAGATAGAATGTTTTCAAATAGTTACAGGAAAGAAATACCTATATGTTTGTTTTTATTTGTATTTAATATATATGTGTGTGTGTATGTACATATGTATGCATATATGTATGAGATATACTTGAGGTACATAAAATGTAATATATATAATTATATGCTATATATGCATATATATCATATATATGCTATATAGATGTGTGAACTGGTCCCTGGAGGAAATTACCTCCTAAAAGACTTAAAGTAGTCTATTTTCTTATACATTGGATTGGTCAAACACCATAAGAAAGACCTGATCTGTGCTGTCCACTATATTCAGGAGCCATATGTGGCTACTTAAATTTAAACTGAGAAAATTAAAAATGGAGTTTGTCCTCCACTCTATTTGAATTCATGTGCTCAATGGCCACATGTAGCTAAAGGCTACAAACTAGCCAGCACATAGAACATTCCCTTTGTCACAGAAAGTCTTTTAAAGAGTCCTGGGAATGATTTCACTAGGATGATTCCATACCCGTTCAATAGCTCTGCCCCCGAGGTCCTGTTGTTGCATGAAGAAGACAAGGGCTGGTTTCCTTGTGGAAACTTGGGCTATGTGGACATGAATTTGCTTGTGGACATGAATCCCCAGTGCATATATGAAGAAATATATGGTTTTCCCCATAAAGATTTTCCTGTTCACCTTCTCAGGACTCATCCCATGATAAGCAGCAGGGACCATGCACTATTTTGAGTTACTAACATTTTATCTTGCCCATCGTGGACATTTGTCTCAATTTGGAATTGGTAGCATCTGCTCTTTTCTTGGAGTTGGGGCATCCCATCATTTGTGGTATGAACCTGGGTAAGTGAGAGTTTACTGTTCCTCTTAATTTCTTAGAGAAATGCTCACTTTTGTGGGCATAGGAATTGAGGATTGCGAACATGGATTTGTGCTTCTGGAGTGAATCTCCAGAGCTGCAGAAGCTGGCTTAGAATCCTCCCTCACCGTGCAGACAGCAACATGGGTGGCTGTGTACTGGGCCAGGCTTGTTGGCCAGGCTCAGTGGCTTTGCTAGTTTTTAGTTCACTATTGAGAACAAAAGAGAAATACTAATAAATTAAACAGCTTTTCTGCATATGTAAGCAGCCTGGACTAGCTTCACCATTCCAACTGACACCCACCTCCAGATGGAGTAATAATAACAGGATAATTTTTAAGAAATAGCAAGAGAACCACATTTCAGTAATTTGTTAAATTAGTCATAACACAAGTAAAATAACCTGATGTACTTTTATGGAAAGGAATCCTTCCATTATCCTTTAATGAAAGTATACATATATTAGAATACAAAGAATACATCCCACGTTGGTTTAGTAATGGCACTTTTTTTTTTTTGGTATAGGTTATGTGTATAGTTCTATTGTTGACACTCAGAATCTAATTTAGACCATTGTTGGTGAACAAGTGCATCATTTCTGATTCCTGTTCCGTTGGCCTGTTCTGCCTTGGTGGATTGGCCTGTTTTATTTGTTTCCAGAACAAATAGATGGTGGCATATTGTTCTACGTTATGTTTAAGCATATTATCTTTTCTTCTTGTGCACTGCCTCCCACGAGGGCACACACAGCAGCTGTGTGAACATCTGTGTCGTCATGTGCGTCAAATCTGGAACAAAACTTCCAAACCCCATGCTCTGTCTTCCTTCTTTCTCTATTTGGATGCCGATGACTATGGAACCACAGTGGATGGTGGGAAACAGGATTAAGGAAATGTGAGCCTAAATTGTTGAACCGGGGAGGGGTCCACTCCAAAAACTGAGGACATCTGATTATGAAAATCTGTGATGGTCATATTTGTAGCACCTTCCAATATAACTATAAATGGAAGGAACATAAATTATGAGAGAGAGAGAGACAGTTCCATTGCGTCAAGCCTTTATATATTTTTGGATGTTTGTTATAGAAACTGACATTACTGTTGTAACCCTCATTCACCTTCATAAATTTCATCATTTCTTCTTGTCAGTTATTAGCTAACTTTTCCCCCTTATTCCGTTGCCCATTTTCTGGAACTTTGCTCTACACTGAATAGTAGTGTAGGTTATATGTAGATATGATAACTATTGCAGAAGTAGGGGACATATTTCCTTATATTGCTTCATATTGCTTACAATAGACCTAAGTTTTTGAAGAGAGCTTAATGCCTCAATTGTGAAAAAAAAGTCAATTTTGTAGTTTCAGCCTTTTTAATAGACTTTGTAGTGCTATTGAGTCACCCTGAAAATTGTGGTGCCAGAATATCTAAGTTTAGTGACTCATTTTTTGCACAGTAAGTCTTTGATAGTCTTTTTAGAAAACATCTCACAGGTTTAAGGATTTTGTGCAGGTTGTCTAGATAGACAGTGAAGGTACAAAGGATGTTCTGAAGTCAGTTTACGTTAAAACAGGAAGAGATAGGATGTTTTTTCAAAAATTTCAATAGTGGTGGACCAAAGGTTGTGCACTTTATGTGTGGTGTGATGTGTAAATGACTTCATGGCAGTAATGAGGTATTAGGGAGATGGTGTTCCTGCTTTGTAGTTTATTCTGTATTAGCTAATAATATTCTCCTCTTCTGAAATATGGAAAGAGAAACTGTGTACTTGTGAGGTTATTAACAAAAGTTTTATATTTGGTAATATACTTGGAATGTCTTGAGTCTTTTCGGGACAAAGTAACTAATAAATACAAGTAACAGCTCATGTTAATAGTTTACTGCTATTTTTTTTTTTTGTTTGTTTTAGGAGTCTCAGAGCATCTTGTAAGCACCATGTGAGCAGCTTGAGCAAAA